TACAGTTTTAGCTGAGTTTATTATCAGAGGCTTAAGTCCTAAACTGGACTCACTAAGGTACAAATAAGTCCCTATTGAAGCTCATTAAAATGTTAATGATTACTTAATTCCCACTGATTTCACTGGCACTGAAGGGCAGCTAATTTAGTTGGCATCTGAATCAAACCACGTTTCCCTTTTCCAGTGAAACTCTCACGAAACACTGCAAATACTTATGCCTTTTTATTGAAGAATACATTTTGCACATAACAAGCTTTGAGCTAAAAACACTCAACCACCATCTTTCAAAGTAGTGGCATTCATTATGTTAAATCAATCAGATTGTAAATACTGGTTTTTTCCTATGAAACTTCATTCATACAGACAAGATTGTAAAATGATGTACCCTGAGAGTGTATGCCAAAAATTATATAATATTTTGGATTTCCCTATCCAAGTCCAGAAAGTACAAGAACTCTGATTTTAGAAAATCAGATTTTAAAGCTGCAATATCATGACTAGAAAAAGGGGGAAATCTGAGATGCAGCAAAGGTGAATTTGGGCTTGTAGCCAGAGAACTCCCATTCTACAACCTTGATCACCAGCAGAGGAAGGAAGGGATGCCAGTAATTTCACACATTTCACACTTGACAATTTGAGTACACCAACGTGATATGGAAAGAGCTCTGCCATGTGAGTTTTTGCAAATACGTATCCAGACAAGTGAGGAGAGGAAACTTCACTTGAAGGCACGCTATCCACCCAAAATGCGCAGGATGGCTGCTCTATTGAAAAATGCTTTGCCAAGTACAGAGCACAAGATTTTTGTATAGGAATGGACATTCAGTTCCAAATGACCTGGAGTGAGCGATATCAGTCGAGCTGAAATAAGCAATGAATTTATTAAGCGACCCCTTGATTGTTTTCACACAACACACTTACCCTAATTCTTGGATTAATACATGTTCTTGATTTCTACAATATGCTGAAGCTTAAACTGGCCAGTCTAAGCTTATACTAAGCCCCTGTCAGGTACAAACTAGCCAAGGATCAAACTAATCAAGCTTAGTAAGTTTAATCAAATTAGCATGTTCTTTGAGCACAGCCACTAGGTTTATAACTGACCTGGTTAAGCATGTTGTGTGAATACAACTCTCCTGCTTCCTCAAAGAAACTGAATATTTTAGAGAAAAGCAGGTGGGGTTGGGGGTGGGGAATCATGGCCGCCTTCTAAATCCAAAGTAATTATTCTGCCTTCCACATTTGTCTTATAAATGTATGAATTTGTTCCAGTGCATATAATTCTGATTGGACACTCTCTGTGCCCCCAGGTTACTAATGTGGCTTCAAGGGTCATCTCAAAATGCAGCATCATATTTCTCCTAAGCTGTTTCATCCTTATGCAATTTATAAGTAAGCCCACCTGTCCAGAGGGGAAAAAACATGGATTAGCCACACAGCAGATGAAGTAGAATTAAAAAAAAA